TATATTTATTTTATTATATATATTTATTAATACACACGCATATGTGTGTGACGATAATTATGACAGTGAATTAATTGTTAATATAAGAATTATACAATTTTATATTTTTGATGATTTATTTTTATCATATAAATCATTTTCATATTTTAAATATATTAGGATAATTTATATTAAAAAAAAAATCATCAAATCAGTTTGTGTATAATTTTTTTGTTTAACTTTAGGCCACTATCATAATTTACGGAGAACATATTTATAAATATAATAATAATAATAAATATATTCGCGCAAAGAGTTAAAAATGAAAAACGACGAAGAGAGAAGGCATAGCTTTCTCATATTTAAGAAAAAGGAAATGGAGAAGCAAGAAATAAAATGAAACATTTTGTTGCTCGTCTTTGTCGTACGCATGCCATATATATATACATATATTATATATATATTATATATAATATACATTTATTGTACATATATATGAGCTGCTAATTATGAAAATTAGTCTGGTATTAGACTATTCTCATAATCATAGGCTCATATATATATATATATACATATATATATTTAATATATTAATATATCGTGAAAAAAAGAACGTGTATACTTGTTTCACACACATTCTCTCCAAAAATAACACACATAATCGAGCCGATCGGATTGATTGCAAACGACACCAACACATGTACGATACACTCTAAGCGTGGCGTCGTCGTTTTGAACGACGTCCCTTTTTTTTTTAATTTTTCTTTTGGTTTCCTAATCAAGGAGAACAAAATTAATATAGAAAAAAAAAACAAGAAGAATTGGAAGAAGAAAAAAAAGAAACAAGAAAAGAAAGATCTTTCTGACTCTCTCTCTCTTTTTCTCTTTCTCTCTTTATCTACGTAGAAAAATTAATTGGATTCGTTAGATGTTTAAAATAAAGAAATTTGAAAGAAAAATATGATGAATGTTTTTTTGTTTTTTTTTTATTACGCAACACAAACGAGTCCTGTTGCGAATGTTTTATCATTGTTGCATTCATTTGGATTAATTGTACAGTCGAGAATTGAAAATTATTTTCTTCGTTTCATTTTCGAAAAATGAGGGGCGAGGGTGGGGGGGTTGGTCCATGTCTCGTGCAACAAAGTTTTTTCTTTCCTCCTTATCGAAATAATAAAATACTTCTTCTTCGAGTTCGATCAAGCGATTAAATTAACTGACAACGGTTTAATAGATTTTAAACGATAAATTTTTTTAAAAATTACAACAACAATAAAAACATCTCGAGAAATATATATTTCAATATAAATATTTCATTGCAAACATTTAATAATCAGTAACACACGGGGGAATGAAGAATAAATAATTCGTTTTGTTAACGTCTTTAGCAAATTCTAAAAAAAAAAACAAATCAAAAACTTACAACGATAAAGAGAGGAAAAAAAATGAAAGATTAGAGAAAGAGAGTGATACGAGAATGAATGATTATATGGGGATGAATATAATGATTATTAAAAGAAATCAAAATCTGAATATACACGCACACGTATATATGCATGTATACAGTATATGCATATATATATATATATACATAAGTATACTAGATTTGATAAATGATATCATCTTATATATCGGGCCGCCAATCGACGACTTTAGAAGCTGGCTTGTGTTACGTCTGTCTGTTGGGTGTATTTTGTAGTATCACGAGGCGCCGCTAATACTATTGGACATCTTGACCATCGTGAACTTGGTCGTCACCCTCCTTTTCCTCATTGAGTGCATCCTTAAACTCATCGCCTTCGGATGCAAGGTATAAACAAGCCTCTCTCTTCTTAATCATTCAAATCTTCACTGTTTTTAATTCACACGCAATTATATTTCTCTTTAATTTGTATAAATAAATGAACACAAACACATATATGATATATTTATAAAATATATAAATATATTATGTGTTTATAGTGTATAATATATATATATATATTTAAATATTTTTAATCAAAAAATTTCAAATACATTTATATATGTGTACGCGTGCACGCCTTTAAAACGCGCGCACACATAAATGCTCACGTATACACAGACACAGACACGTGTATATAAACACAGCAGAATCAGGGTCGAACAAAAATGATTATATAAAAATTGTATGAAATAATTGAATAATAGCTGAGAGATATTACTTCGACGAGATCGAATGGGTTTTGATATTGACAGAATATATCGATTGAGATGGAAGGAACAAAAACAGGGATATAGGAAATGAAATAAAAGAAGGAAAAGTTAACGCATCGGCGGTTGGCGTAGATTGAAAACGAAACGATGCACGATCCGATCGTGGCTATATTATTTCTTTTTTTTTCACCAATTTTTCATACTATATTTTAACCATAAAGCGTAACCATTAACGTGTTGTATAATCGTTCGATTGTATCGATTGAGTTGATTACAATCAAATCGAGATCGAGTGTGTAACAAGTTGAACGGCAGAAAAAGAAAAAAGACAAAAAAAAATAGTAAGAAACTCGTTATAATAGTCGATGTTTTTATTTATTAGTAACATAATCGATGATAGTTAAATCGTTTCGATTATCGATCGAGTAGAATTAGAAAATATAGATTACCCTTTCTTTCGCTTCCTTATTAATTAGAATTTATTTGTTATTTGAACGTAATCAAGTATATTATTATTATTACCTATCGTATATAGTAACGAAATACACCTATCCCATGATTTACACGGAAAATTGGTTTCTACGAATAACCGTGTAAATCGAAAACAAATTGAAATCAGCAAATAATTTAGTTAATTTATTCTTACGTACAAATTTCAGCCGCTAAACTTTTTCTAATATGGGAATTTTCATTATTTATTATAGTTCTTATTGTTAATACGTAGACGATTTGAAATGTTTATTTTCGTTTTTTAAAAACACAACGTTTTTTTTCTTTCTTTCTAATTTATTTCGGCATGGTATGATATATGAAATTTTAAGTGAATTATAAAAACGCTACCAAAATTATTATTGTTTATTAGTAATCAGTAAAAAAATGAAGTTTGAAATATTTATAATTAATAAAGAAAGAAATGCACGATGCTGATATTTGCATTTCTGCTGATAACGATTTTTTTAAATTTGCTGCGCAAATTAACACCAATGGTTTTTTTCCTGTGTGTATATAAAAAATGATTTAATACCAGTGTTATTAATCGAATGGTATTAAAAAGAGGTTTATTTCTAACAATTTATTTTTCACCAAACCGTGTAAAATAAAATACCGTGGAAATCGAAGGGATAGATGTATTATGTTCTCTCACGCTATAACAAACGTTTGGTTATTTCTGGTGTGGTAAACGAGCGTACGAAGAAACAAAAATAAATAAAAAAAAAAAAAAACGGGACAACAATCCTTTTCAAATTCGCGTATTTCTATCTCTTTCTCTCTTTCTAGTTTGCTTTTCTATTACCGGCATGCTCCCGTAGATTATTTCTTTCAGAAAGATCCTATCATTTATTATTATTAATATTATTATTATTATTATTATTATTATTATTTTTATTATTACTAATATATTTTTCATAATATTAATATTATTATATAATTATTATTTATTTTTATATGATGATCATGATTATTATTATTATTATTATTATTATTATAATTATTTTTAATATTATTATAATTGTTATTACGATTATTATTATAATTATTATTCTACGTACTTCAGCTGAGATCATCGATCATTAGTGCGTAAGATTACGGTATATCATGTAATTATAATTATACATGTATAATAAACCGCATCTTTTAGTCTAATTTTGTTTAAAAAAAAAAAAAAAATAACTAAAGATGTCTAAAGAGATGCATGGAGGATAAGAAGATTTTTTCTTCGAGTATCTTAGCAAGTAGTTAATATAAAAAATATCTTTCGATATATTAAACAAAAATCTAATCGCGACCAAGAGATGCGGAAAGTTTTGTTTTTTTATCATTAACACGTCGCTAGGTAGAGCACCTAATCACACACACACATATAACCGAATTACATAAGTAATTAGCTTAATTAGTAGGATACACGCTCGTGTGAAGCCTCACCTTACTTATTACACTTATAATACTTTAACTATACTTGCACGCACATACATGTTACACGATACACACATATGTACACACACACACATACACACAAACGCAAAACGTATTTATCACTCGAGTGAATTAAAAAATGAAAAAAAAAAATAAAAAAAAGAAGAAGAGAAAAAACATATCCGCGTCCCATCGAGCCGATGATGTTCGTAATCGGAGCACTTATTTTTTTTTTCTCCGAAATCGAAATAGACGTAGTAAATCGAACAATGATGATGATGATCCTTGAATATGTACATAAACACAAAACATTCACGCGAACGCTACGAAGGTTCTTAGATATTTGCAAATAAATGTTCTTATTTTTATTCGAAACAATTTATTGTGTTACGAGTATTACAGGAACAATATCTCGTTTCAGTATCTTAGAAACTTCGAAGTGATCGGCACTACGCGTTCTAGAGATCAATTTTTTAATATTAATTATAATATTGTATTGATATATATGTATGTATATATATTTATATTTTATTTGATTATATCCTCTCGGCGTTAGAACTTCTTCAAGGATTCTTGGAACACGTTCGACTTTATTACCGTGATTGGCAGCATCGTCGACGCACTTGTCATCGAATTCGGGGTACGTAAAGTTTCGAAATATATTTTTCTGTTATTTTTCAAAAGCAACATATTTTCTCTCTATCATCGAGAATCTCAAAAATATGAAACGTCTAAATCTAAATTTATACGCTGATAATTATAAGAAAGTGATCTAAATTATACGCGAATACACGGTTTTATACTTTTTTGCTTATATATTACCTTTTTTAATATGAAACAACTAATTTACAAATGTTTTTTTTTTTTAGTAAAATCATGTAAAATTTGTGATGTTTAAAAATGATGCTAAAAAAAAAACAAATGATAATATACAATGACTCTATACAATAATCGATACGATTTGCAATGAAGTGATAGATAAAAATTTCGAAAAATTGTGTCAATTTATTTTAATCGATGTTTAGATCACTTTTCATAATTACCGACGCTATTACGTATCGATATAATTTATATTTAACCAAGAATACGTTGTAATTTAATCGATCGCACGTGGATTTCGTAATCCAGTGGTTCATGTGCGCCTATCACGAGCCCTTTTGTCCCGAGACACGAATTTGTCTAATCGATTAATCGATTTTTCAACATTTAACGTCAATTTATCTCAATACCAACATATTTATTTAATTATATAACACGATCGTTAAGTTATAAACAAAATAATTTAGTTTTTAAATGAAAATTCATCTCGCGACAAAAGGGAGTAAGTATTGCGTTTTTCCATTTAACCCTTTTGCTGCTCCTTATCGATATAATTCAAATCAAACGCTAGCAAGTAATTGCAAAAATTATTTTCTAAGTAAGATTAATCCCTTTTTGGATGTATCTTATTTATTTATTTATATTTCCCAGCCGTATATGCTGCATTTGTTACGCTAAAAAAAAAAGTATTAGGTTGTTCGATAAATAATTTTATTTTTTTTTCAAAGGCAAATAATATATGTACGTTAATATATATGAGTTTCAAAGGGAAAATTGAAGACAGTTAATAAATTTTGATGAACAAATTTATTTGATCTTGTTTTGAATTTTGTTTGAATTTGTTCATTAAAATTATTAATTGTCTTCAATTTTYCCTTTGAAACTCATATATATTAATATACTGTTGGGACAAGAATATTGATTATTAAATTAATATATGTACGTTTCGAATTTGATAAATTCAACTTGTCAGATGTATCTTGCGTTATATGCAATTATTATCATCCATCAATCGATCTTCAAATTAGAAATTTCGAAAAGTAATTTTGACAATAGTATACTTTTCGTAAACAGCATATAATTTTGTTATCCTTTTTTCAATTCACCCCCCCCCCTCCAAAAATAAACTGCTTAACATATGTAGGGGGGGAAAGAAAATGAATATTATTTATCGAACAAGCCAATATGTAAAATTATCTCATCGCTCATATCAGTACGTTTACAATAACAATAACGAACATTATAATACATATACACAATTATTAAACGCATTTATTATTACACATTAATTATTAATATAAAGGTAGAGATGCGCTTGAATTAAAAATTAACGAATATAATAAATCAAAAATAAAATATATTAATACCTTTTTTTCGAATCCAACAGGTTTTTAAATCTGATAAATCTAAAAGTAGTAAGTAGGCTTGCTCTTCGAGTATTAATATCATCGCCAGTCTACTGCGTAATTATTTTCCTATACTCTTACCAATAAAAAAAGAAAAAGAAAAGAAAAAAAAATTAAGAAAAAAAAAAAGAAAGAAGTGAGAAATATGCTAAAGCTTTTGTGTTGTAAAGGCCAGAAAGTAAAGCAATCAGTGGTGTATGTACGTTTTTGAATAATTGTATGGGGTTAGAACGATATAACAGATAATTATTGCAACGTTCAATATTTCTGTAATAGGAGCGGTTTTCGAGTGTGCCAAGTGGTGGCCAGCTAACTGAAAAGAAGGTATCAATTACTTCGTATATTATTTGCATCATTCAATCTAATATCGATTGTCGGATTGGTTCTTCTTTCTATTATTATTATTATTATTATTATTATTATTATTATTATTATTGTATATTATATATATATATATATGTATCTTTATCTTCTTCTTTTAAAGATATGTGAAACCTATTTTATTATTCTAATCACGATGATACCTTATTGCTCATATATATTATAAGCAAGAGTAAAAAAAAAAAGGAAGAGAAGAAAAAAAAAGCACACAGAAACAAGTTGAACATATATTACACAATATTTCTTTTGATATCTATATTTTTACATCATATTCCTATCGTTCTACATATGTACATATATGCATACATACTTACATACATATTATTATACATTCATATATACTCATTTAAATACTTTTTCGGATCATAGTCATCGTCATTATCATTATCAAACGATGGCTACTATGAAATATAATAATAGTGGCTATCAATGCAGCTAAGACAAAATGGAAGAAAATAATAAATAAAAAAAAAACAAAAAAGAAATATCTCTAAAGATCTTCTTAGTCGCGGCAAAGGGGTTTTTATAATGATTACAGGAAAATAAATGATCTGCCGAACCTAGTGCAGGTACTTTCGACGTACTTCCTTCGAAGATTTACTTGGTTGTGTTATTAAGAAAAAAAGTAAAGTAAAAAAGTAAAAGAAAAGTAAAGAAAAGAATTTTGGGAAAAAGAACTGATTATAAAGAAGATATAAAATTGGGATAAGAAAAAGAAGAATTCCTTTGATAGCTTCGTTCGTGCAATCGGTTAGGCAAAATATCGATCGTTATCAACGTGAAGGATAACGATCGTTTCGTTTTAGTTTTTGACCGATTTTGTACGCACGAAGCTAAATTTCATCCTTCAGAACGCTTAAAGATGGACAATCTTTTGGGTTAAGTGCAATTTTCTGTGTCCCCTGCAGGAGAATTTCATCAACGTCGGCTTCCTCAGGCTATTTCGTGCCGCCAGACTGATCAAACTGCTACGACAAGGATACACGATACGAATTTTACTCTGGACCTTCGTGCAATCCTTCAAAGTACGTCAGATTTATATTTCAATCACGTGAGTCTATAGAAATGGGACTTACGTCACTTTCATAATTGGTCAATAGTAAAAAAATGATTTAATATTTAATCCTTTGACCTATAACCACGAGTTTGACACGTGGAAAAGAATATGTGTCATAAACAAAAGCCACGAGCCTGATTCGTGGTAAAGAATTTGTGCCATAAACAAAAGCCACGAGTCTGACTCGTGGTGAGGAATTTGTGCATAAGCAAAAACCACGAGTCTGACTAAAAAAATGTCAAAACGACGTTAAACGTTGTCTTAAAATTACTATTTGTACCTAAACATTGTTTATTATTTGTGTGTGAAATATGTTTCCTATTAATTTATTGATATGATTTCGTTTATTTTTACAGGCCTTGCCTTACGTTTGTCTCCTCATCGCGATGCTCTTTTTCATCTACGCCATCATCGGTATGCAGGTACGAAAGAACGTGTCCTCTCTCTTTTCTCTTTCTTCTCGCGCGTTTTGCAAGTTACTGGGACCAATCTTATATAGGATATACATTTTATACATATATATATATATATATACTTACTTACTAATATAATATTATATAATACGTGTGCCAATAATTATAACAGTGTGGGCTTATTCAAATAATTGGAACAAATTGATTTTATGATTCATTTTCTTTTTTTTTTACAAAAAAATAACTTATAATATAAATCCTAAAATTAATTTGTTACAATTGGAAGAAAAATTAATAATTACCGGCACATATATGTATATATATATATATTTGAATCGCTCTATAAATTAGGTCGAGTAAATCATGACAATGGACTGAATCCAAAATTGGAAGAAATTAACTTTATGATTTATATCATAAGATAAATCATAACAATCATTATTTTGTAATTGGAAAAAGTAATAATAATAACAGACGAATAATATTTGATACGCCTTATAAATTAGGTTGATATGATATGGGGATTTAAAAAAAAGACCAACTCGATTGATACGGTAGGGATAAACAAACTTCGTATCTTTTTCTTTTCCATTTATATTTTCTCATTATATTATAATACAAATATTATAATTTATTATTTGCAAATGTGTATTTTTCAAAATGCAACGATCACGTATATTCCGTTTGATTATATTTTTTTTTTCTACAGAGAGGAAAAAAAAAATTAGAGAAAAAAAGAAAGAAAAAGAAAAAGAAAAAGGAAAAGGGATTGAGTTAAATGACATGAAATAGTTTGGTGATAATTAGTGATTGAGAAATTCCGTTGTCAGGTCTTTGGAAATATATCGAACGATCCAGGAACATCGATCGATGATCACAACAACTTTCAGTCCTTCTTCGCCGGTCTTATGTTGCTTTTTCGGTGAGTCGAGCAGCTAAATACACTGCAGGTTCAAGGATAAGGGAATATATTCTTGAGAAAATTTTGACGATACGACCAATCAATCATATCGAATGATTCGATATATTTCATTGTTTCCTTTCGTCGATCGAACTAACACAAATATTTATTTATTTATTTTTACAATTTTCTATATGGCACGAAAAAATAGAGAAAAGAAAAACAATCGATATTTTAAACTAAACGTTCATTCGTTCAAAAAAAAAATCACTTCATCGACGAAATCGAACAATTGTTTGTTTTTTTCGACAATAAAAAAACAAAACAAAAAAAAAGAACAACGTCGTGATTTTTCGCGATGTTTAACGAACGAATTTAACGTCCGATCGAATTGCAAAATTTTATTTTACCAAACATCGAGTAATATTTTTTTTCTTTTTTTCCAAAAATCCCAAATGTTCGAAAAGCATCGCGAAAACGGGGGGAGGGGGAGGGGATGATCTTTCAAATAAATAATACGAGAAGGAAAAAAAAAAGGGGGTAAATTTTGGTCGTCGTAAGAAATAATGAAAAAAAAAAAGAGAAAAAAATAAAAGTAAAAAAGACTTATACGATAGAGAGAGAAAGAGAGAGAGAAAGAGAGAGGGAAAGAAAGAATGAAAGAGAGAGAGAGAGAGAAAGAGAGAGAATGGGAGAGAATGAGAATGAAAGAGAGAAAGAATGAAAGAGAGAAAGAGAGAGAGAGAGAGAGAGAGAGTATTGGGCTGCTAGCATGAGGTTTCACGAGAGTAAGCTGCTCGACGTGTCAAATTGTTGTAACCCCGCAATTAGCTGTCCCATAGAAAGTTGGTCCCATAGTAATGCTTGCGTTATAGCTTTGGCGTCAACGATATAACATTTTTAACCAAAAAAAAAAAAACAACAACAAACTCGAAAGAATCGAAGAAATCTAAGAATTCGCAAAATAAGATGACTTTAAGGAAAACTATAATATTAAAATAATTATTATATTTAATTAGGATAATATACGATTCTTTCGAGTATACAATTGTATGTATATATATAAAAAAAAAAATCATATACATACATATTAATCAAAAAGGCAAGAACACAAATCTAAAGTATATCATAGATCCTGATTTAAATGTGGTAGATGAGTATACTTAGAAGGGCTCTTTGTCGTAATTTACATTTATACACACATACAAACGCAAACAATTACACTGATATTTTTCTTAATATCACATCTATAAATCCATACATTTATTTCTATATGCATATAAAAACATTTTTTATTATACATGGTATCCTTTAATTTTTAATGGTACAAGCGAGTAAATAATCATTCTAATTGAAAAATCAAATCGAAAACGTAGAATTCAATTTGCCTATATATTATGATGCTTCGTTGTTTTTTTTTTTTTTTTGAAGAAAAATAAAGAATATAGAAGGAGATCTTTTAGTTTTCCAGGATGGCAATCTGAGTTGTGTACACAAGTACTCAACAAATTTGATTCCATATTTTCGATTTAGTTTTCCATATAGAGTTATGCACGTTTGTACCAACAGTTGCAAGACACCACGTGTATATGGTGTATATTTATATTTAATCTGAATGAATACAAAACAGAGATGCTCGTCGGGTTTAAAACAATTTCACTTTGTCTAATTTACGTTTGATATCGTTCGAGCATTTTTAGATTAGTTCCTATTATCTCATCTCTACGTAGTTTTTTTTACATAAGGATATCATATACCCAGTCACAGACGTTTTCGGTCATCCAGCGAGAGAAAAGACAACCCGGAAGGCGTGTATCAAATCCTCTAACTATTATTACATCATATTGATTTAAAAAAAAACAACTAAAAAAATTGAATTCGAATTTTAATTGATCAATCGATTAACGTCAATTCTTTTTATCGTGGTTATTTTATTAACTAAGATAAAAAGGTAAAAGACGAGAGAAAAAATTGTTTGTTTAAATGAAAAAAAAAAAGAGAAAAAGATCGAACATCCATGATAAACGCTGCCTATCCGCCATTTGGCTGCGGCTGGCTCACTTATTTCTGTGGGTCTCAGGTATTCGGTAACATCGAGCTGGGTGCTGACAGTTCTATTAACAAGCACAACAATTTCCAAAGCTTCATACAAGGTCTGATGCTGCTTTTTCGGTAAGTATCATCCACATCCACGTATAATCTTGATCGTTTTTTTTTTTTATATATTCGATGATATTATAAATACAATTGTTAAATACTACTGCACAACATGCACCTCTTATATATAGCCTCGATTCAATACCAATAAAAATACACACGCATACTTTCTTTATATTTCTTTTATTTTTATTCTTTTCTTTTTTTAATATATATATATATATTTATTTTTTTTTGTTTTCCATTATTATTATTATTCTACAAAAGTATTATTTCTTAGAATAAACAAACATAAAATTCAAAGTCGAAGAGTCCGCATATATCGGATAATTCTATTAGAAAAATCCGAGTTTGATGATTAGATACAGTAATTTAAAAACCTTTTATCGCTTTTGGTGTTGCGTTTGTCCCTTCGAAGAGAAATGATGCATGCTATTATATATAGTATATTATATTAGAAATTACAACGATATTTTAAACAATTCCAAATTATAGTATTTGATTAATTTTGTTTGTAATCGTAACAAAGAAATATCGTCGTAATATCTTAATGTAGAAATCCTTGCCAAGATTAACCAAGTATTAAAGCTTAACCCTTTGATCTATTGAATTCTCAGATCTCTTGAATCTCTTATAATATTGTACATGTATATACAAATTTTTCATCGAAGATACGAGAAGATCAAAATTCATGCGTATACATCATTTTGATCTTATACACGTAAAGATCGCGAATTTTCTTATAATTTTGCTTTCTCGTATTTTCGAAAGATTTGAATCGATTTGCATGTCATTAGAAAAATACAATAAAATAAAATAAAATAAAAGAAAATAAATGAAAATAAAATGAAATAAAGAAACGTTCTCTTATTGCGAATATAATTAAAAATACAAATATATAAATATATTTTAAGCAGAACGTTGAAAAAAAAAAGGAAGAAAGAAAGAAACCAAAATGATCTAACGATTGACGTATATTGTAGGTGCGCAACAGGTGAAGCTTGGCCAAACATCATGTTGGCCTGTATAAAGGGTCGACCATGCGACGTGAAAGCAGGAAAACAGGAACCAGGTGGTTGCGGTTCTAACATCGCTTATGCCTACTTCGTCTCGTTCATCTTTTTCTGCTCATTTTTAATGCTGAATCTTTTCGTCGCCGTCATCATGGACAACTTTGATTATTTAACGAGAGACTCGTCGATTCTCGGTGCACATCATCTAGACGAATTTGTTAGAATATGGGCAGAATACGATCCCAAGGCCACCGGTAAGGTACTTTACAACGAGGTCTACGACATGCTCAAAGTTATGGATCCACCGTTGGGGTTTGGTCAAAAGTGTCCCAACAGGCTAGCATACAAGAAACTCATCAGAATGAACATGCCCGTCGATTCCGATGGGAAGGTCAACTTTACCACTACACTTTTCGCACTGATACGAGAGGATCTTAGTATTAAAATGAGATGCGGTTAGTTTTTTCTGCTATGACTTTTTATTGATTTTTCTTCATAATTTGTTCTAATATTTTCTTTTTTTTTTTCAAAGAAATTTTCAACCTAACCTAATAGATATTTTTATCTTAATCACGTATATACAAATCATCCGCTTGTTATCTTTTCGAATTTATTTTTTTCCAGCGAATGAAATGAGACAAGCGAACGAGGAACTTCGAGATACTATTCGAAGTATTTGGCCTCTGCAAGCGAAAAAGATGTTGGACCTTTTGATACCTAGAGACGAAGGTAAATTATTTATTAAATCTATCGTTTGAACACTTTTTTACTGCCACATTTGTTCTATATTGATAATATTAATATATAAGTCTCAAAGGGAATTATAGACG